GCAATAACGGAATTAAGTTGGAAGTACATAACAAAAACATATGGAAAGTCCCAAAATATTTAGAAATTAGCATGCTTCTAAATAACTCATGAGGGGCTGGGGATTTAGCTCAGCGGCAAAAGCGCTTGCCTGGCAAGCGCAAGGTCGTGAGTTCGGTTCCCGGTACCGGAGAAAAACCAAAAAAAAAATAAATAAAAAATAAATAAATAACTCATGGATCAAGAAAGAATTCACAATGGAAATTAGAAAATATTTTTAATAGAATAAAAAATATCAATTTACAAAGTTCAGCTAAGCAGGGGTTAGAGAAAAATCTATAAGCTATAAATGCTTACAGTAGCAAAAGCAGAGGTTAGAAACTAGCACTACATGCTTATGAATAGAAAAGAAAGACTTCAAGTCAGTGATTTTTACCTTACAGTAGCAAAAGAAGAGCAAATTAAACTCAAAAAAAGCAGAAAGGAGAAATAAAAATAAAAGCAAATGATCAGTGAAATTCATTGATACTAGAAGTCTTGATCAATCAGTAGGGGGAGAAAAAGAAATAAAGGATATATGAGAGGTAGTAAGGGAGAGGTAAAATTGCTCCTATTCACAGAAAGTATGAAATGTAATGAAATGAGCTGGAAATGTTTCAGGTTGAAAGACACATGACATGACAAGTAAGTTTAATATCTGCTTGTACATTAGACCCTGGGGGAAAATGCTGTAAAAGACATGATCATGATCACTGATAACACTACAATATGGATGGGATATTAGACAAAAATATTATATAGGATGTGATAAGAAAATAAGGTGACTATATAAAATTTTAAAATTTTTGGTACATGTGTAGAACTTAGTGACCATATTCAGTTTGGGGGAATGATACATATACCTATTACATAGTAATCATTTTAACTCCCCCTTTCCTCCCCACTCTCCCTACTCTCTCCTTCTCCAGATCTCCTTATCATCCTTACAGAGTCTACCTACCTCCCTGTTTCTTAGCATGACTCTTATTTTGCTCTTGAAATAATTTAAATTTTGGGTCTCTCATATTAGAAAAACCATGTGACATTTAACTTGTGTCTAATTTATTTCACTGTGTTGTGTTCTCAAAATTCACCCATTTTCCTACAAATGACTCAAATTTGTCCTTCTTTATGGTTGAGTAGTAATCCATTATTTATATATACTAATTTTTCTTTATCCATATCTGTTGGTTGTCATATAGGCCTCTTCCATGATTTAGCTATTGTGAGTTTTACAGCTGTAAGTGTGGGTATGCATGTAACACTACAGTATGATGAGTTGAACTCTTGAGAAGATACGAAGAAGAGGTATGGCTGGGTCGGGTGGAATTTGTACTTTTAATGTTTTGAGGAATCTTCATACTGATTTCCACAGTAGTCATGCTAGTTTATATTCCCAACAATGTAGAAGGGTTCCTTTATTCCTATAACCTGGCCGGCATTGTTGTTTCTTGAGAACTTATTGAAAGCCATTCTTATTGGAGTTAGGTGGAATCAAAGGTTGGTATCTCTAATGACCAAAGATGGTAAACATTTTTTCATGTATTTATTGGCTGTTTATATATCTTCTTCTTTTGAGAATGGTCTATTAAAATTTTAAAAATTAAAAAATTTATTACAATAAAAGACGTACAGTAATATCTCAGTTCACTAATGCGTCTGTTCATAATCAGAAGCTTTTGTCAAAACTTTGCTTCTGTTTTTGAACTCTGCTTTGGGTGACTAACATGACCTTGGCCATCTTCCCTGTATGAGTGCAAACACAGCCATCTTCCCCAAAATGGTGGAATTAAATTAAGCTTGTGAACCAAGGTACCATTGCCACTATTCCCCCTCAAAATACTCTCTCTTGCTTGAACACATTTATTCCATTGTTCTTACTACTTCTTGAAGCAGTTCTGGACGTTCTCTTTCATGTGTGTGTTTTTGTGGCTGCCTTGATGTCCTGAATCAATTAAAAATATTTATAACAATTTCTGCCTCATCCACTTAATTTGCCAGATCTGGCTCCATAGGATTTCTAGCTTTTCCTCAAAGTCAAAATGACATGAAAGGTAAATGTTTTGAATCAATTTAGGACATCAAGGCAGCCTTGACAGTGCAACTAAAGACACTTATGAAAGAGAGGAATTCTAGAACTGATTCACAAAGTGGCAAGAAGGATAACATAAGTGTGTTGGAAGCAAGGGGAATAGTTTGAGGAGTGTTAAAGGCAAAGTATCTTTTACTGTAATAAATTTTTTTAATTCACATATTCATAATTTTAAATTTAAGTATTCATATTGATTCACACTGAATCAATAAAAATGTGGGGGTGGTAACTGCATTGCTCTTACTATAGGAGAATTCTCTTAGTCTTAGGAAATCTAAATTATTCATATGAGTTTTGCATTGTAGATCCAACCAACAGTGACTTGAAAATATTGTTTTAAAAAATACTACAGTTGTGACAATATTAAACGTGTACCAACTTTTCTTCTTGTCATTACATCCTAAAAAGTACAATATAATAATTAGGTGTAATATGTACTTCACAGTTGATTTAAAGTATATGGGAAGATGTGATTTGATTATATGGAAATACTGACATTTTATTTTGTTTGTTTTTTGAGACCAGATCTTCCTATGTATTCTATGCCCATGAACTCACTGTGTTAGTTAAGGCTGAACTCAAGGCAATCCTCCTTTCTCAGCCTCCTGAGTGCTGGGATTACAAATGTGGCCACAATGCCTGGCTTATGATATTTTATGAAAGAGACATGAACATACACAGATGTTGGTATCCTAGGGTTCCTGGAACCAGACCCTTATGGATACTGAGAGACAATTGTATTTAAGGGCACAGGACCATGATGAGCATAACTTACCCTCAGTAATTCAGGTGAAAAACTGTGTGTGTGACAAGAGGAAGAAAATGTAAGTACAGATGATGAAACAAATGTGGGTGAAATGTCATGAGCAGGTCTTTCTTCTAGTATTCCTGCTTTTGTAACTATAAATTTGAAATGATTTTCTGAAAGTTTTAAATTTTGTCTTTAATAATGCCAAAAGGAAAAGGCCATCAATACTTGAAGTTGAATCAGATCCTAGGCTTGACAACCTAGTCTTCTAAACATATTCTACTCATTCCTATTTTTGTTCTTTTTCTCACATTGAATTTTTTCGCCAGGAATACCTTTCCTGTTTTACCTATCCTAACCTTCCACATTTATCAGTGTACAACTCTGGTTTAATAATCTGTCCTTCCACACTCCCATTTCTTTTTCTCTTGCATTAATTTCTTCTGTTTTCTCCTTCTGTCTTCCTCTTATTTAAATGTAATCTGATCAAATGTAGCAAATTGCAAATCTACGTCTGTGAGAGCAGAAACTTTATTATATATACATATACTGCCATAAAGAGCCAGGCTTATAATTCACTTAGGTATTTATGAGCAACAGAAGTGGTCTCAACCATATTTTTCAACCCTCATCAAAATCCTAGTTTTATTTTAGGTTCATGTATTGCTTGTATAGATCAAAAGTAGTACCAACTATGATCCTAGAATTTTCAAGATTGAAGAGGTTTTAAAAATCATTCAGAGCAAAACTTCTCATTTTCCTTAAGAATCTATATTCTGGTTAGTGAAATTTATTATTACTAAGCAAGGACTTAGGTCCCTTTTCTTTTTATTTCTTCTCAGTATGGTCATAATTGTAATTTTTGTCGTATTACATTAAATTATTTTTATTTAATATACTGGTATTTATTGAAGATGACAGTTATAGATCATTTAGATTAACGTTAATAAGTTAGTTTTTGAACGCATGTATATTTTGTGGAAAACTGTTGGGCTAGATTTGGCTTTCATAGCACAATAGTGTTCTAACGGGTAATTCTCCAAATACCTAAACTTATGAGAATTACTGCTCTGCTTATTAGAGTCTGATATGTAAGTTAGCATTAAAGTCTTTCTCTTGGTCGTATACATTACACATCATAGTGATTACGATCACTGGACTTGGGTTGGAGGTGCAGCTTAGTGGTAAAAGTTTGCTTAGTATGCTCAAGGCCTTGGGCTCTGTCTCCAGCACTGAAATAAAAGAAAGTACTGAACTTTTGGCTGGGGATTTAGCTCAGCGGCAAAAGCGCCTGCCTGGCAAGCGCAAGGTCGTGAGTTCGGTTCCCAGTACCGGAGAAAAAAAAGTACTGAACTTTAGAAACGGAACCTGATTTTCTGGGCTTCATTCTCTGCTGTGCCACTTACAGGCAGTGTGATGTTGGTTGTGTCACTTAATCCATTTGTAAAGTGGAAATAGTTGACTGTTATCTCAGGGGAGACTGGAAATGTAAATGAATTGATATATCTAAAGGGCTTAAAAGAATGCCTACATAAATGATACACATTTTAATTAGTAATATTGTTTACTAAAAGATCATAAACAGCCAGGCATTTTCCCTGTAACTTGCCAGCACAAATAAGGGGATCATATGTTCAGCTCATCATCATCAGAGGAGTTAATTTTACCCTTGCTTACATTTTAAAGGTTGTTGTTGTTGTTTTTCTCCTTAGAGTTTATGCCTGCTAAGGAATTCTTTTTAACATTGCCTGTCAGCATGTGGTTTTCTTCTATCCATTATTCTTCCTGTGCTTTGTATGTGTTGCATGGCTTGTAGATGGTAGCATTTTTAAAACAATTTGATAAAATAATTCTATTTTAGCTTTTAAATATTAGGTTCCATGAGTCTGCTCTACACATGAGGCTAAGTTGATACTTCAGATGTACACTTACAGAAGCTATAACATATAACCTTATACAATACTCGGTTATATATTTCCCCTTTACACATTTTTAACCAATATTCATATGTCATCTTTAAAGATTAGGGTTATTAAAAGTAGTAGACCATATGAATACAAGTATGACCATACGTTGCTTTTAAGCATAAATGATCACCCAGTGACGTGGTCTAAGTAAAATATTCTCTTTTTTAATTATGTAGTCCTCCTCGCCATCTTCATCACAGCCTCATTCTAGCCACTGCAGAACGAAGGCCTCATCATTGTGTCACCATGCATCCCTGCCCTGGGTCAAACGTAACCATGTAGGCCCTGCAAAGGCTACCAGTCCATCTCTCCGTCTTCGTCGCTGGCGACCCTTCTTACGCCTACCATCTTTGGGTCTCCATTCTGTTGTAAGTGTAGTCAATCTTCCATCTCTTCTTCCAGTGACAAGGGCAGTCTTTTTATTTATTTATTTTTCCCTGAACGTCTTCAGTCTTCAAAGTGCTTTCTCTTGATTCACTCAACCATTCGCTTTTTCTTCCCGACAAGATTGCAAGCATACTGATATGCTTTGCAGTCTAGCTTGACTTTCACCCCAGTGCCTTGGTGAGCATCCATCTTCCCACGCCATATTCTGCACACATAAGGTTGCCTGCCTGTTGATGTGTACTGATCAACATTCATGGTAATGTTTAAGTTCCTGTCAGTTGTTAAAAGTGACTGTGTGTTTTCTTAACCTTCAGCTTTCTGATTTCATTTAGTTGACTCAGGTCAACAAATGCTGTGTACCTTCTGAGTTCTTTGTCAACTATTACTTTAAGGTTTTTTGGTTTTTTGTCTTTTTTTTTTCATATTTCTGAGCATGACTTGTCTCTTGCCATGCTCATGGGGTCACTTTACTTACTCTGTCCTCAGTCTAAATCCTTCATGGTGTAGGGTGTTTCATCTAAGCTATTTTATTCCCTGAGGTGGCTCAGGTACTTGGTTTAATCTTGATCTGATCTTCCCTGCCTATTCAGTTTCTACAGATCTTTTCCAAGTAGGAGCTGAAGATTTTCCCTTTGTGCATTGATACAGCCTTCCCACAAATTCTATTATTTCTCTTTTGTAACCTAAAAAATATTAGCAAACTACTAAAAAGTACATTTGTTTTTGTAATCCTAATTATCTTAAATGTTGAGGTTGATTATGGAATTTTAGTAATTATCATAATTGAAATAAACTGCAGAATTAAGCAACTACAACTCTTGGTCTTTCTGATGTTTCAGACTATTAAAGGCATTGACTGGTTTAGCAGAGCCTATCTAGAAATGCAATATCTGAAAGTTTTGATGTGTGCCATATGTGATAAGAAACGACATTTTATAAATCGTGGACTGTTGAAGCCAGGGGAAATTTTATTACACAAACATTTTAACCCTTAAGAACAGTTAGAAGTTAATGTTGAACGTTCTTTCCTCCCATTTATTTGCTTTTCCAGAGCTGTATTTAAACTATGGAGTTTCAACACTTTTTCTTAAACATTTGCTTCCATCAAACATCAGTGTGATTGTCCAATAGCCTTTCATTTGTGCTGAGTATCAACAAACTGGAGTCTCTGTTTCATTACCGTCATTGAGTTTCAGCATTCTTTTGTCATTTTTATTTATTTATCCATTTGATATTTGTTGTTTTTCTAATGTGCTATATGCTGTTTGACATAGAGATACAGGGTGATTTGGTGAATAGAGTAAAATCTAATTTTGTAAATTTTCACTGGGCGGAATTGGTTTAATTGTAAATATGAAATTTTTTTGTACTTAAAAGCATTGTAAATATAATGAACATGTTATAAAATTTAACAGTTCCAGATTTATATTTTCAATGTAATGTTGATATTGCTCCATATTAATTCCACTGCCTGACAGCCTCATATTTTCGTAGCATAATGAATAAGAACACTTATTTTGAGGCCACATTGCCTGAGTTTTGTTCTAGAGTCCATTGTGTTTAGCTGTTAACCTGGAAAATGTTACTGTTACTAAATGCCTCTCTACATCAGCTTTCTTGAGAGTAAGATGGGTGTAATTATCTCATTGGGTTTGTATGATGGTTAACTAGTATATATAAAGCACTTAAAACAGTGCCTGGTATATATTTAGTATCATATATATTAAATTTGGACTTTTTAAAAAATGAAATTTTTATTTAGTATTTAATTTCTAATTGATGTATTAGATTAGTGTTTAATTCTTTGAGGTAACTAAGCAATATTGTACTCTAAAATAAGGCATTAATCTACAGGCAGAGTTATCCAATCCAGAACTTTTTTTGCCTTCTGCAATTTGTTCATCATCTTCTTGAAATAGAAGACTTGCTGGTATTTGATTTTTATTTATGATTTTTAGTGGGATGATTTTGAGTAACTCAGTAATTGTAGATTTTAGACCCTGAGACTAGTTGAAGTTGATTAAAGGGAATGACTTATGATATTTAAGTTTTATAGAAAGCTTAAAAGTTTTGAGCTTATCTTTTATAATAGGTTGAAGGCTCTTCATGCCTACTTTAGGGTTTTGTAATTTTTTCTTGCACTTTTGGATAAAAAGTACAATGGCACACAATTTTGAGTCACTATATTTGATAATTACCTATATTTGTGAAAATGTAGTTTTAATGTTGCAAATATATAAGGTTTATATAACACTTAACAAAGTATTTTGACACATCTCATTTAAACCTCAAAGTGAATAAGAAACTCAAAGCTCACAGGAGTTGAGCAATTGGTTTTCTGACTCCAGCAGTATTACTATTACCTCTAGCATGGTTTATTTACTGGAAAAATATGAAATATGGAAGGTATATGATGTGTAATTCTTAAGAGAAGTTAAAGTAGTAATTTATTAAAAACAGTAACTGAAACAATTTAAAATACTTGATACTATGTTGGAGAATTGTCTTAAAATAAATAAAATAAAATTTAAAAAAATTTTATTTTATGGAAAAAAGGTAAAACAAAATTTCATAACAAACAATATGAGAATAACAATAGCTAGTACATTATATCTTGTTATCATTAAAGTAGTTGCTCAGGGTACAAGACACAGGCATAAAAATTTCTCCAATTGATATTAGCACAAACCTTCCTTCTAATGAAATGAGACACTAATAGTATAACTGACTTGCATTTTTCCCTTTTCCCTACTGTGCTTTCCCTTTCCACCCATACTAGTTCCTTTTTCTTTTTGAACAATTTCTTCCCATTTCACGATATCTATTGTACATTTTAGAATTTATTTACTCTTTTAGTTTCTCATACCAGGGGAGACAATATGATGTTGACACATGTGAGTCCGATTTATTTCACTTATGAGTATGGTCTCAAGTTGCATCCATTTACCTATAAAAGTCTCGATTTTATCCTTCTTTATGGCTGAGTAGTATTCCATTGAAAATATTTTTCCTAATCAAATGAGGAATTCATTCTAGCACTTTGTCACAGAATTGAATTTATAATTTGCAAGCTGATTAGATTTAGCTTTGAAAAATTGAATTGTCTTCAAGTCATTGCTAAACTGAGGGTATTGGATTGAATGATCATTACCATTTTTTTGATTCTCTGAGTGGAAGAGTAAGAGAACTCATTGTCATAGACATAAGATATTTTAAAAAATACCATATTCAGGAAGGATTGGGCTTCACTTCAGGATGGTGGAAAGCACAGGGTGACATATTGTTGCCTCAGTATGAGAGATAATTCTTAATAAAACAGTGAGCTAGACTGCCACAGATTTAGGCAATTTCTTGTGATGGAGGGGCTTCCACAAGAAAGGGCTGTGGTAGAGAAGGGAGCAGTAGTGAAGCTAGGTAACTTTGCTTCCTATCAGTGTGGAGCTCTTCAGTTCTGGAATGATGCTAGGAAGAATTAATTTGCCATATCAATTTATGCTAAATTTCCTCCCTTTATAGCTTGAGGGCAATAATGTCAGAAGAATAATGAGAGATTAGATGAGTCACTATATTGATTGTTTTATAAACATTCTGTAAATCATAAAAATAGTAATGAATAAAAAAGGTGATTTTGTTTACCCTTTAATAACTGCACCAGAAAACTTCATATTGCAACCACTTTACAATGTATGCATTGCCTGAGGGTAAGAAAAGTACAGGTTTTTGAGTTAGGATAGTATCTATATTACTTAAAAGGATTACTAGGTAATGTGGGAAATAATTTAATTTATACCTCTTGAAAACTTTTACTTGAAAAATCAGTTTCACTTGTATTTAATAGTTACTGTACTTCATTTTAAGACACATAGATTTGATATATAGCTACCATATATTAGTGTTAGCCATATACTTACTGTATATCAAAGTACCAGCTAATCAGTGTATTGACTTTGCATAAATTATTCAGATGTCTAAGAAATGTAAATATTGCTTATGTAAATTGATTTTGGTAAGCTACAAAAACCTAGCTATAGCTTAAATTTGAAAGTGTTCATTAAAAATGAGAGAAAAAAAATCATGGGCTTATGGTAGTTAACTGTACTTTAATTTGTTTTGACTGTTTTCTCCCCCTTTAGATTTCAGGGCTATCTTTCTGCGTTGATTCATTTGTAAGCTTTTGGAATCTAAAATCCATACACATTCTTATTTTATTCTATGATTGTTTACATTGTATTAGTCAAAGCATGAGATGAAATTCAAGTCATTAAGGGAACCATCTCACTTTCCTGATGTCTTAAAATTTAACTTGAGCCAGGCATGATGGTACATACCTATAATCCCACCACTCAGGAGGCTGAGGCAGGAGGGTTGCCACAAGTGCAAGGCCAAGAGGAACTATATAGCAAGACTTTGTCTCCAAAAATGAAAATCAATCAATCTTGAAAAATTTCTTCAACTCTCTTTATGAATTATTAAAAATGTTTTTACTTTCTTACATTAAATTTAAAAAATTAAATCAGCTCCTTAATTTCATCAGTTACTGTACATTGTATATATATTATGTACCAGGCATTGTGCTAGGCAGGGGGCTTCCAAGGTTAGCAAGACTTGGCTGTTTAGATCAGCTGAGACTCAGGACAGTTTGCTTCCATCATTGTTTTTCATGTTGATGGAGGGACACATTTTTTACAAACATAGGTATGGTTACTTTGTCCACCATATCAAGGATTAAGCTTGGAATTATATTGGATAAATGTTCTTGTGTCATTTGATGTTATTTGTAGATATTTATGTGTACTTGATTCGTTTGACAACTAATGTATTTAATATGTTTTTTTCCCTCCTATTCCAGGCACCAAATATAGATGAAAAAGTAGACCTTCATTTTATTGCATTAGTTCATGTAGATGGGCATCTCTATGAATTAGGTAAGAACTATTTTAATTTATATGGGAAAGGCTCTACTTATGATAGGATTATTGATATTTATTGCTTATGTAAGTTAATTGATTGCCACATAAAATTGAGTTGATGTAGTTTTCTTTTTTACTAAATTTTTTTGACGCTCAAGTGTCATATTCAAGAACATTTAAGTGTCACATTTGCATTTTATTTTAGCAAAGCTAGAAATAGAAGCCATTATAGGTAACTTCTATAAATTATTTTGGCAGTCTGTACTAAGTAGTTAAGTTATTGTCAATATCTGGATGAACTGTCTTTATGTTTAAAATCTATATTGTAAGGTTGGGGATAGAGCTCAGTGGCACAGGTGCCTGCCTGGCAAGCATAAGGTCCTGAGTTCAATTCCTGGTACCAAAAATAAAAAAAATATATATATATAGTATACTGAATTTTGTATTCAGTAATGAGTTCCACTAGTTTTCAGGCTTTTGTGCTGTCTCTATGTATGCTGTCTGATGTTTATGCTTCCCTTGGGAAAATATCAAAGTACCATGGTTAATTACTTGATATTTTGGTCTGTATATGAACTTACTTCCTTCTTTCCTTTCTTTTTTGTAAGAAAAGTTCATGGATAGACTATTTAAGGACATATTAGAGGAGAGCCACATAATTTCAACTGAACTATTCAAATACAAGAAACTTCTTATGTAATTTTTCACATTTATTATACAGGACTAATAATGAGTCCTTCTTGACCTTCTACACATGACCTTTTTGAGTTGAAAAATCCAAACCAAGAAACAAAAAAGGAAAGAAATCTTTTTCACTAGTTCTACTTATCATTTCTTATTTCTCTTACCTCTTACTTGCTGTGTATGTGTGAACTTGCCATTTGTATTTGTCTTACTTAAAGTCAGACAGTTTTAAAAGAACTCAGTTCATCACTGTAAATGTGACCCATAAAATTTAGATGGGTTTTGTATTTGAAATACAGAAATAGAATCATACACTTTATTTAAAAGTAATGGAGTTACTGAAGGCACCAAGGAAAAGAAAGGCCGTAGTATTTATAGAAGTGTATAGTGAGTGTGGAGGGTTATCTACAATAGCGGTTTGTGTGGAATCAAACTAAAATGAAGTCATTGTTATGGGAGTATATAACAGCCCTGCAGAAGATACATTTTATTCAGTCCACCAGATCCTATAGAGATAGGTGTAACAATCACTGGGAATTCACATGTATTTCTGGAAGCAGAGTTTCTACTCTGAGTTTTGCATGAGGACTGGTTAGTGGAAGAGGAAGTAAAGGTAGTGCTGAGACTTACCTTATGCATTCTGTCAACTCAGGGAAATATTTGAGTTCTAGGGTTATGGCTCAGTGTCAGAGCACTTGGCTTGCCTAGCATGTTCAATACCTGGGTTCAATCCTAATTCTGCCAAAGCAGGGAAGTTTATGACCAGACTATAAAAATGATGGTAGCTTAATTTTAAAATGAGAGACTTACACAGTGAACAATAATATCACCAAAAGACCAAAATCATTAATTTCAGTGGGAAGAAAAGTTTTATCTTAAAAAACTCAATTTGATTTATCAGATTGCTGTCTGAACTCGTAGGCTACAAGAGCAAATAGAAGGAAGGACATATATCAAAGGTGAACTACACATAATAAAGTGTGCCTTTTTAGAGCATGCCAAGATTAACACAAGAGGATTTTAAAATTAGTTTGAAGTAAAGACTTCAGAAAAGAAAGGCAGAACTGCTCAGGTCCTGTATTGTTTCCATATTTTTTTTATCCAGAAGAAAGAATGATTGATATAGCTGATAGAGAATTAGAGGCCAGTTGAGATTAGATTCTTGAAGTGAGTTTAAAGAATGTTGGCGTTATAAAGAATAGTCATAATCTTTGACATGTCCTAAAGAATAGGGATTGGTGCAAAATAAATGGTGATGGGCAGTTACTGACTCATTACAGTAGAAACTAGCAGTGGTCCTAATGTTAGTGCATAAATTAAAGTGGAATAGTGAGACAGCAGGTTAAATTAGTGAACAGACAACAGTGATTAAGAGAACACTATAATTTTTAAGAAAAAAATATTTCAAAGTTGTATTTTAAAATAAAGCTACTTGATTGTAGATATGGTTCAAGATAATTTCTACAGGACAATTACTTAACAGAGGATGGTGATGGTCTTTAATTATTCATTTCCTACTAAATTACAAGGTTAACTGATGAAAAGGACTGAGTTATTTCCATCTTCTTATCTTCACCCCTTTTCTTTGAGGGTCTCTGTAAGTTCCTAGAATATGTAGAGAGGAAGAAGTAGGTATTTTAAAATAAATATAATGGCTCCTATGGATAAATTGAACCATTGTGGTTTGGGGGTGAATTCAGAATGGGCTGCATAAACAGATTTTAAAAATGAATAAATTATTGTCCACTTGAAGTAACAGTACTTTAAAACATTTTTACAATCTGTACTTTGAAATAATTTTAATTATTTATGGAAATTATAGAAATAATACATTGTGCTCTCTTACACTCTTCCTCTAGGTTACCCAGATGCAGTTAGTATTTTTGAACCACTTGAAAACAAATCAGATACATGATCTCCCATTATCCTCCTTTAATACATCCATTTTTCCCCAAAACAAGCAGACACTTTCCTTCATAACTACAGTGTGACTATCAGAATCACAGAAAAGGGAGTCATAAATGTAGAAAACCCTAGGTTTAATCGGTGGTACAGACAGAAACTACAGTGCTGCAGTTGATCAACAGGAGCCATTATATCTGTTTTAAAGTACCTACTTCTTCTTCTCTACAGAGATTGCCAAAGTGTTATTTCTTGATTTCCCCAAATAGAAGATAAAGATTTAGCTTTCCTTTGCTTTCCTTTTTTCCTTGCTCTTCTTTTTCCAACCACAAAGTACACACTTTTTTTCTTTCTCAATGTAGTTAAAAGTTGATGTTTATCTTATTTCAACTGTAAAAACATTATTCTCACGTGAGCCATAAGTAACATACTTTTCTTTTTAATTTTATAAACTTTCTCCTGAATTAATAATGGTCTTATTTCGCTCTTTGGTTTGTTTGGTTATTAATTTTTAAATGTATTTAATACTGTTTCCTCTAGGCTTTTTTCCTTCGGTCTGCATTTCTCAATACACTGGAATATCTGGCATTCTGTTAACTTCATCTTCTGAGAGTGATCCCTCAGTGTTCTCTTGTACACCTTTATCATCATGAGATATCTCCTTGTTATGCTAGACTCGCTCCTCTGTTCAAGTTCCTGTTCCTGGAAGCGCTGTCTCCTTTATTTGTTTTAAGTTAGTACTCATTCATTTTAAGTTAGTATCTTTCTCCAGCAGCTTACTAAAGAAAAGTTGTATAGGAAGTAAATATTTATACTTCGAATGTCTGAACTTGCATTTCTAAAATTTCATGTTAAAGAACAGTTTTCTTTCAAAATATTGATGGCATTGCCTTATTGTATTTTAGTTTATTTGAGTTGCTGTCAAGATGCCTAAAGTTATTATACCTGATTCTTTTTGTATTCTTTGTATACTTTTGCACCTTCCAAAATCCTACAAAATTCTGGTCTTGTTTGTTGGTGGTTCTGGGGATTGAATGGGACCTTTTCTTTATCCAAAGTTGTTGACATTTTATGATGACATGTCTTTCTTAAAATCTGTTTTTATCAATAATTTTGGGCTTTAGGGCATCCTTTCAGTCTAGAAACTCTTAAGTTTCAGTATGGAATGTTTTCTTTCTTTGGATTTCTCTTCTGTTTTCCTTTGTTCTACCTTTCTAAAATGTCTCTGTTGGAACATCTAATTTTTTCTCTATGATTTTTCATCACTGCCTTTTGTTCTGGTCTCTAGACTTTCTTTTAACTTTGTATTTAAATTCATTCAAGTTTTACAAATTTGTTAACATATATAATTTGAAAAGACTCTCCATTTCTCTGAATTTTATTTATTTGGTGCAATACTGGAGATCAGACTGGAAGCCTTGCATGCGAAAGTGTTTATTTCTGTATAGTTTTCATTTTTTAATAAATAGTTTCCTCATTTGTGTTATTGACTGTCACTGAGTATCAGTAATCTTTTTAATTTTTATTGGTACATGTTTACAGTACATAATGATTACATTTCTCACAGGTAGTTGGTACATGTATGTAACACCGCTCAATTCTTTTCTTAATCCCTTCCATCCCACCTTCCCTTTTGCTAAAGATCTCCCTATTTCTTATGATCTCTTTTATTTCATTCTTTATTTATATTTTGGGTTTCTTATATAAGAGAAACCATGTGATATTCAAGCTTGTGTGTCTGATTTATTTCACTAACATTATGGTCTCAACGTACATCCATTTTCCTGCACATGACTCAAATTTGCTCTTCTTTATGGCGGAATAGTAGTTCACTGTATATAAATGCCATATTTTCTTTTTCCATTCATCTGTTGGTAGATACTTGCAAAATTTAGCTATTATGAATTGTGCTGCTATAAACATGGGTACGCATGTATTGCATAGAAGCTGGAATACCTGAGATAAATGGAATTTCTGGTTTTAGTTTTATGAGGAATCTCCATGCTGATTTCCATAGTGGTTGTACTAGTTTACATTTTCACCAACAATGTAGAAGGGTTCCTTTTGTCCTGGAGCCTGGCCAGCATTTGTACTTTGATTTCTGGATTATAGCCACTCATTCTGGAATTAGATGGAATCTTAGTGTTCTTTTAATTTGCATTTCTCAAATGCCCAATGATATTTTTTTGCTATTTACATAATATATGTGTGTGGGGGGAGTAATAGGTATTGAATCCAAGGGGGACCATACTTCTTGCATGCTAGGCAAGTGGTCTACTGCTGAGCTACATTACTGGCCTTTCTTCTATTTTTGTTTCGAAACAGGACCTTGTTAAGTTGTCCATGCAGGGCTTGATTCTTTGATCCTCCTGTCCCATACTCATGAGGGCCTCCAATTACAGACATGCATCATCATGCCTGGCTTTTCTTCAGTTTCTTGTTTGTATTGTGGTGTTTTGGGGTCTTTACACAAACAGTCTGAAGAACAGTATCTGAGTGAATTAGTTGGTTAGTCACAGCCAAGGAGCTGGGGTAGTATCCTCTTTTCTGTCCATCCCATAACTGCTATAGCCCAATTAGACCAAGGTTGGGGGAAGTCACATAATCTATCTGTAAAGTGAAATTTTTTCCTGACTTAGAAGTCTATATGGATCTTCACTAAAATATGTATTTACTTAAAGTACACCCAAAGTTTTAGGCAAATGGCGGATTTGAAACAGTGGCAACTTTTAGATTTTACTGTTTTGGCAATATTTTCAAGAAAGGAACATGTAATAAATATTTTCAGTTTTGTGGGCTACACATTATTTATGTCATTTATTCTTCCACTTATTTTTTCTTCTTTTAGTTGTGTTTTGTTGTTTTTGTTTTTGTTTGTCTTTTTGAGACAGGGTCTCACTATGCAGTTCAGGCTGGCCTTGAGCTCACTTTGTAGCCCAGGCTGGTCTCAAACTCGCAACAATCCTCCTGCCTCAGCCTCCTGAGTGCTGGGATTACAGGCATGCGCCACCACCCCTGGCTTCTTTTAAAAATGTAGAAACCATTCTCAGTTTAAGAGAGATATAAAAATAGGCTATAGGCAATAGAAATCATAATTAATATTTGCTCTAAACTGCTGTTGTAGCAAAATACAATATGATTTCATTTTGTTTATATTCTTTTGACATTTCAAGGTCAATTGCTTAATTGTTAGTCTATAAGAATGTTTTTGAAATTAATTATATGCTACTTTAATAACAGCTGCAGATAAGGAAAAACTGTAACTAGAATCTAATGCGTGATACCAAAAAATAAATGATAGGAACCAAGAAAAATACATATTAATAATTTGGTTAAAGAGAAGAAACCTACATTATTTGTACTTTTGCTTTTATGTAGAAATCAAATGATACAACAATATAAAATGGGGAAGCACAATTTTAATGAGTATAACAGATTTGTATAACTCTAGAACAAAAAGGGCTATTAAAGTGTTTGTCACCAAAGAATATCTTAAGGAATTGCTTTGTGACATACTATTGAGAAATATATATTGCAGTGTACAAAAATAGTATGTTCGGGGCTGGGGATTTAGCTCAGCGGCACAGCGCCTACCTGGCAAGCGCAAACTTGTGAGTTCGATTCCTGGTACCAGGAAAAAAAAAAAAAAAAAAGAATGCATGTTCATAGAAGTATGGATAACTCAGTATTCATTGTAATATTTGTTTATAGGGAAATATTTTTTTTGTGGTCCTTTAAGAGTTACAATCTTTAAAAGTTAAGTCCAAGTCATTGTAGTTTTGGGATATGTTTCTTTAGGATTTTGAAATTTATTTCAGCGTTAGTCTAAACATGAAGATCACAACTTCTGATAATATAATGTATAGAAATTAATGTCACATTATGTAAAGATATATTTATATTTGTTTTCATTAAATTTTTCTTTAAAGGTATCTACCAATCTAAGTCTATCAGCATGCATACTGACTAAGAAATTTTAACTACCTTAGAAATAATGAAATTTTAGAAAGGACCGTGGGCCGGGAAAATGGCTCAGCAGCACAGCGCCTGCCTGGCAAGTGCAGAGTCCTGAGTTCAATTCCCAGTACCAAAAAAAAAAAAAAGAAAAGAACTGTGTTTAATGGATTGAAGTCGACAAAGTACCAGTAATAAAACATCTGCAATTACAGATTTAATACAGAGTATCAGTTTACATAATCCTGGACCTTTTCATAATATTGAAAGAGTACTAGTTTATTCAAGATGATTGTGAATTTTGTTAATTATTTTGGTGGTCAGTAAAATAATCCTGGGTTATTTGAGCAGTTTTATATTACTGCATTGGTTGTAGTAGTAATACATAAGCCTCCTTTTCATTGATAAAAGCATTTCAGTCTTAAGATCTTCTGATTTCCTTGGAAGGTATATTTCTTTTATATTTCTAAGGATAAAAACTGGAGTTATAGATTTTAAAAATTTTAGTTACAAATTTTACATATTTGCAGGAAACTAAAACCAGTTTTTATTTATAATAAATTCTGTTTGTAAAGATAATTCAGGCTTTTAAACATGGAAGCAAATTTTCCATAATTTTACTAGTAAAAATGCGTAAGTAACACATTTAAAATGTTTGTTTTTAGACATATCATTTAAAGAACCTTTTGGGCTTATGGTGTAGCTCAGTGGTAGAATACTTGCCTAGCACACATGAGGCAGTAGGCTTGATCCTTAGCAGCAGAAAAATAAATTTTAAAAAAATCTTTTAACTTTTCTTGTCTTACTGTGGGAAGAGGAAAATGGAAGATAAAGTACATTATTCTGTAAAAACAGCTAAGCATTTAACTGTTTTTCTATTTTCCACAGATGGGCGGAAACCATTTCCAATTAACCATGGGAAAACTAGTGATGAGACTTTACTAGAGGTAAAGATAAAATGTCCTGGCCTAGCTTAAGTGTTTTATTATCTTTAAAACATCTGTAAAGGTTCTGTGTATTTGGAGTTTTTTTGTCCTTGCTCATTTTATAAAATCCAAAAACAAAAATTTTAATCAGCATTAAAAATCTACATAAGATGTTTCCAGAGCTCTTTATGTGAATAGGTGTCAAATTTTAAAAAGACAAGGCTAAGATTGAAAGAGTTGCTCATTATACCCCATATGTCCTTGAATCTGAGATATCATTAGTTGTATCTTGATCCTAATTTTAAAGATTGAAAATATAACAAGTTATGTGACTTTTAATCAATGAAATATATAATTTTTAGTTAAAAGTACAGTAGCTATGAACTAGAAAATATGAAATTCTTATCACCATTTGTAAATAAAAGACATTTATGAACTGAAAAGGTATACTTGTTTTTCTCCGTAGGATGCCATAGAAGTTTGCAAGAAGTTTATGGAACGTGACCCTGATGAATTAAGATTTAACGCAATTGCTCTTTCTGCTGCGTAGATTGTCATTGGAAACACTAAATATTGTATTATTTGAAACAGAAGTTAAATTTCCGCTGCCATACACTAACTCAAAAATTTTGATATTTTTCATTAACTTGACTGATTAAACTTTATGTGAGTTAAACTTTGACTTAACCTGTGGTTTATTTTTTCCCCTAAGTTAAAGCTGCAGTTCTTTCTTGCCCTTTCTTTTTTGTGAAAGATTTATCTTATTTAATTACTAGCAATAAATTTTGAATTGTTTTTACATCTCATGAGAGATCATGTCCTGGAACACCATGCACAATTTCTGACTGCATAGTATGAATAATTTGTCAAACTTCTTTACAAACTTCTTTATTTATTTAGGAAATACATGTTGAACATCTTATCGTGAGATGGGCAAGCAGTGAACACTGTTGACAGGTTCCATAGTCACAGAGATTATGTTCTTACAAGGAGAGATACATGACAAGTACGTAAAAAGACACATTGCGAAGGACAAATGCGGTTTGGAGAATTAAACTAGGATTTCTGTTAATGAGTGACTGAGTTGATTCTTTAGATTTTGTTGTCAGGGAAGGTGTCGGTGAAGATATGACTTTGAAGTAGAGCCCTGAATAGCAAAAAGTAGACAGTCATAAAAGTGGTGGTGAAAAGCAGAAAAAAGAATGAATGCTGAGTCTCTAAGGTAGGAAAATCTTGCTGTCTTACAGATCAGGATGAAGGTTCATATGGCCAGAACATAGAAAGTAATGGAGAAGGTAATAAGAGATCAGGTCAGAGAAGGGGGAGCTTAAGAATATAGGAAAAGTATTTGAATTTACTTTAACCAGCCTTGTGATGCTAAGCCGCTCAAGAGTTTTAAGCAAGAAGTGGCTTGGTTTTTTTGTTTTTTTGTTTTTTTTTTTGGTTATTTTCCGGTACTAGGAACTGAACTCACGACCTTGCGCTTGCCAGGCAGGTGCTGTGCCGCTGAGCTAAATCCCCAGCCCCGAAGTGGCTTGATTTGGTATATAGTTTTGAAAGATCACTCTGACAAGTCTGAGAATAATATATTGGGGCAGAGGGATGCAAGAACAGAGGTAGATTTGTGAGAAGTCCTCTATAGTAGTTCAGTGAGAGATGTCGATGGCTGGATCTTAAAAGTAAAAACCCATTTAGATGGAGGTAAGTTAGTGAATTTGGGGTGCACTTTGAAGGAAGAAGAGCTTTAGTTAGTCTTATAGGATAATTCAAGGCTGAGGGAGTAGCTTTGTTGTATACATTTGCCTAACACAGTTACAGCGAACGTATGGCACATGGTCGCCATCACTAGCCTAGCATGTCAAGGGCCAGTGTTTAATCCCCAGCACCACAAAAAAACAGAAATCTCACACACACACACACACACACACACACACACACACTAGTTGGAAGTCAATGGAAAGGTAAAAGTTGGGTCAGAGAACATGATTTGCATGGGAGTGTTTTGTGTCTTTTTGAGGGAGTAGTGGTTTCTTGGGTATATGCATTGCTCAAAACACATTGGGTTCCACATTTCAAATCTATACTGCTCTATACATACATTTTACCTCAAGAAAAGCTGAGTTAGAACAACTATAGTAGAACAGGTATATTATCTACAATGAAATTCTGGACCAGTAATTGAGTGTAGATATTTATACATGATTCACTGACAGTGTGGATTCTGAAGACAGTAAGGTGAAGAATTGTCTTTTAGAAAGAGTAATATTCTAAAAGAATGGGTTGCAGAGTAAATTAGATCTTGGTTTTTCAAAGTATTGAGTCAGTATTGCCTGAGAACCTGTTGGAAATTTTAGACCCTGTGCCTAGAACCTTCATTTTAAACATGGTTCCTGAGTGATTCATATGATTGAATTTGGGAAGCAATAAATGAGAAAAGCTATACCATGATAAGGAAATCACTTTGAAAGACTTTTAAATTTACCACATGTGGGTGAAGATTGCCTGGATGAAGTGGTGACACAAGTAAAGAATTTAAACTTTTGAGAAACTGATCGTGTATGTGCATGATGTGTTTGTCATGCTAACAACTGGAGTATTTTTGTTACATTATTTGCATTTTGTACACATATATTGTATATTAAATATTTCTGAGTAGTTTTCTGATTCTTCTTGTGCTGGATTTCTTCTATTGTGTAATTTCTTCATAGATTCTAAAAGTAATGGCACATTACCCAGAATTTATAGTTTCTCAGAACTTCCTATGAGGGACACTAACTTTGCAGACTATTAAGGGGCAAGAAGGATTATAAAGTCCAATATCTTGTGTGTGCATGTGTGTGTTGTTCCTTTTTTTAATTTTAAATTTTAATTAGTACATGTTTACAGTACATAATGATTATATTTATTGTGGTGAATCAGTACTTACACAACACATTCTTTTTTCCCTCCACCCCTGCCATTTTGCCAGCCTCAGATTCATTTATTCATCTTATCATAAACTTAATTATCATACAGATTAACAGCTAGACTTACAGGTCAAAAAACATAAAACATGTAAGGCAATTTATTAAATTGAGGTACACTTTTAGATACATTGTCCATGCTGGAGTACGATAACATTTTGTCTTTTTTCCTATTATCTGTCTTTTATTTTGCACTTTATTTATGTATTGAGTTTCTCATATAAGAGAAACTATGTGGTATTTAAGTTTGTCTGATTTACTTCACTTCACATTATACTCTCAGGGTGCACCCATTTTCCTGTAGTCAAATATCTTGAAAACATTAAGTTAAATAATTTATTTACAGTTACAGATATATTGGGTTGGCCAAATGCTTCAGCTTTTTAAAAGAAATCCTCTACGTATTATAAATAACATTTTCTAAACATTTTATGAGCAACCAGGGGGACTAGCATTTTTTGTCACATACTTTAGGGTGATAGTCCTGTCAAAAGACAAGAATTAAAACAGTTACAGATACAACTGACTTTTATTTAAGAATTATGAATCAAAGCAGCTTCCATACTACAAGGCAAAATGAGAGCTCCCACTGAGCAATACCAGAAGAGGGTTTTCTTTTTTTATTTTAAAGAGAATAAAGAAAAACCAATAAAAATATTTGTAAGGTGGGAATGAGAAAAAAAAATGGAAAAAAGTAAACCTCAGGTTCTTTTGCAAGGGCCAAAGTAGAGGGGACTTGCTTAATAACATTAACTCAGGTAGACTAGATTCTTCTTTCAGGAAAGATTGACCTTTCTGGGCTCTATCTGCTTCATTAATGTTTCAGTTTGTATGGCATTTAGCATGTGACTGCGTTTTGGTTCTCTTGTGACTTAGTACCGAGGCTCAGTCCAACAATGGACTCCCATAATTTTGTGACAGTCCCTTGTGGAACATATAACTTGAAAATTTTCTCTTGTTTCTTCTTTGATTTGTATCTATAACTTTATTCCTTCTTCAGCTCTGCTCCCTACAATACTGGCACTTGTTGAAGAAATGACTGGTTTAATTGTATGAAAAGTTGTAGTGACACTAAGGCCAGTCAAGTTATGATTCATTTCTTTATAATGCTACTACTGACCATGATAGATTTTGGGAAGTGGAACAAAAATATGAATTGAAACTAAATATTTTTGCTTAGTGGACTTTTGGGAATTGGCTAAACATCATCTTTCACTGGGTACATGTAATGAATGGTTTGCTTCAAGTTATTAAAATACATACTGTTGCTACAATGTATATTAACATCTAATGTCTTGTGTTCACTATGACTAAAATAGATATCTCTATTATATGGTGAATCAAACTTAAAATACCTTAAATGAAAATCACCTCTAATTCCTTATAAAATATTTAAACAATTATATTGATTTGATTACATCTTTGATTTGTGTACAATGCTTATTAAGTAAGTTTTATCACTGACTATGTGCAACATACAACTGGTTAACTTAATGAAAAGAGTATAATTAAAAAGATATTTTTAACCGTTGTTTGCTAATATAGCTTTCAGGAGAAGCTATAAACTTGAGTCTTCTGTTGATGCTGGTAAAAATTACAGGTAGTTTAGTTCCAACATTTACAAAAAACCTTTTATAGAAATATATTTTCAGGTAAATATTATATGTATGTATATAACCTCATACATAATATGTATACTGTATGTACATGAATATATACAGCTAGCCCTCTGTATATGTGGGTTTTGTGTCCTCATATCCAACTAACTATGGACTGAAAATATTTGGAAAAAAATTGCATTCATACACAGGCTTCTTGTCATTTGCCCCTAAAAATATAGTATTAATAACTATTTCCATAGTTTTTACATTTACTTAAGATATTATCTGAAGATGATTTAAGGTACAGGAGGATGTGAGTTATATTTTAAGGAACGGAAACATCCTGATTTTGGTATGGGGTGCTCCAACCCATTCTCAATAGACAATGATGAATGTAAATGCTCTCACATTTGCATACACATACCTTGAAAAGACAAATAACTTTGGTCTGAATTCTCTCTATGAATAGTCCTTCACTGAAGTTAGATTAACTTTGAAAAGTGTATAAACATTGCAAAAGGATTTTAGAACTAATTGAGATCTTTAATGAAACTGAAATGGAACTCATACTCCCAAAGTAATTCCTGGAAGCTACCATTACCCTGATTCCAAAACCAGGCAGAGACTCAAGTAAGAAAAAGAGCTATTGACCAATCTTTTTAATAAATATAGAATCAAAAATATTCAACAGGATAGTGGCAAACAATGCCATTATCACCAAAAAGATTGTACCTCCTAACCAAGTTGGCTTCATCACAGGTATACAAGGATTGTTCAACATACACAAATCAATAAATTAATACATCACATGGAAGCAAGGACAAAAATCATGTGATCATCTCAATAGATGCAGAAAAAGCTTTCGACAAAATCCAACATCCTTTCATGATAAAAAGTAATAAAAAATAGGTATAGGAGAACCTTAAATAATTCTGATAAAAGCCATTTATGACAAACCTACTCCCAATGCCATGTTAAATGGGAAAATGTGAAATCTTTCCCTCTAAAATCAAATAAAGACAAGAATGTCCACTATCACCAGTCTTGTTCAGCATAGTACTCAAAACATTTGCAAGAGTATTTTGGCAAGAAAAATAAAAGTTATATAAAGGGAAAAA